GTGTGTGTGTGTGTGTGCTATGGCTATGGAGTATGGCCGCGGTTCGGTGGGTTCTTTCACGTTGGCAGCTGAAAAGTGCTCCAACAATTATGAACGTTGACCTTTTTGCCAAATTTTCCACTGTGCCACGGATGTAAAGGTGAAAGAGGAATGGAACAGAACAGAGCAGAACAGAACAGAACAGAAGGGAAGAGAACCTAATGACAACTGTGCGGGCCGCAGCGGTCGGTTGGGGGGCGGTAAGGCGTAAGGTAAATGAATGCGCTGAGCCGAAAGGCAAGAGAAGATTGCGCCAAATAGTCTACGAAGAAGAAGAAGAAGCATAACAAAAAGTATTCAAAAGCAAATAAATAACCAAAAGGCAAACACACACACAAACACACAATTTGGCCAAGAGCAAAGCTCACCCAAAGACAACGGCAGCAAACGCGGCTCTAACAGGAGACAAAGGGGGCTGACAAGGCACGCACACCATGATACACACATACATACAGACATTTGTATGTATGTGTATTGTGTATAACCTGGCGCTGACTTTGTCTTTTTGAAAGTTGAAATGCTGCCTAGGCAGAATCTCAGGGCATCGGCAGCAGCAGAGCAGCAGCAGCAGCAGCAGCGCAGCGCAGTGCTAGAGCCAATAAACGGGTTTGAAACAAAAGAACAGACGCTTAACAGAGAGCAGCCGCCCTGCCTCCTCTACCCTCCTACCACCCTGCCACTTCAAGCAACGCCACCCGCCCTCGCTGTTTCGACCGCGTGAAGATCACGAGAACAACAACAGAAACAAGAGCAAAACAGTGCGCGATGGTGTTCTGCCAGAGGAACGAAATGGTAACTGGAACTGGAACTGAAACTTGTGCGTGGATGGTAGAAGAAGTGAGACGGGGGGGGCAACAATTGTGGCATTGAACTGAGCGATCTGTAAAGAAGTCTCAATGCTAAGGATGGGCGGAAAATTGACTAATACGGATTTGAATTCAACATTAACAGGCACGATGTTAATCATTTTGCATGTATGTTTAAGTATATACAGTATGTCAATAAAGTGTTTTGACTAACGAAAAAAAACTAATTTTTTGGGTTTAGTTGAAAATAAATGTACCTAAAAGTGAGAATTTTTTTTCAATTCTAATTTATTTCGATTCTATATTTTTCCTAGAACTTAATGGCAAAAAGAATTGTTAAATAACATTACCCAAACATTTTATAAAATTAAAAAACTAAAAACATTCAAATTTTATGCTGTCAATAAAGTGTTTTTACACGAAACTTTATTACTAAATAACAATGTTAAAAAAACAGGAATATTTTTTTTTAATACTTTGTGTGGCTGCCATTAGCGTCACATACAGCCTGCAATCGCCGTTTCATTGAAACAATAAGGTTTTGTATGTATGTTTCTGGAATCTTCTGCCATTCTTCCAGTACAGCAGCTTTTAAATCAGTTTTTGATTTTGGACTCCGCTTTGCGACTTTTTTTTTCAAATATGACCACACATTTTCTATTGGATTCATATCTGGACTTTGTGGTGGAGTGTCTAACACCTTTCCACAGTTGTACAACAGCCAAACTCTTACCATATGAGCTTTATGCTTCGGGTCATTGTCCTGGTAAAATTTAAAAATTGGCTTATTGTCCTCATAGAATCCAAATTTCTGTGCACTACTGACGAGATGTGTCTGTAAAATGCTCAGATATTGTCTAGCATCCATGGTATTCTCAATGAAGGTCAAATCTCCTACACCCTTGCTCGAAATACACCCCCACACCATCACTGATAGTTTTCCGAATTTAACGGTTGGAATAATATTGCGGTTTTCCAACGCTGTTAGTGGCTTTCTCCAGACTCTGGATGGCCCATCGTTGTAGAATAGCATCATCTTGCTTTCGTCACAGAATATGACGTTACTCCAAAAATCGTTCGAACTATTTACATGGACTTGAGCGAACGATAGCCGCTTCAAAATATTCGCCGCCGATAGTAGAGGTTTTTTCCTGGCAACTCGTGATGTGTAGTCATTGGAATTCAGTAATTTTCGGACAGTTTCATGTGACACATCAACACCACTTTCTTCCTTGAACTCCTGAGCAATATCCCTAAGCGAAATTTGTGGATTTTTCTCAATTTTTCTCAGAATTTTTCGCTTATCTCTGTCAGAAATTTTGCAGGGTCGACCACATACTGGCTTTGCCTCTAGCCTATCTTCCTTATTGGCTCTGTTTAATATGTTGTATATCGTTGCTTTTGATAAATTAAACATATCAGCCAGTTCCGAGACTTGACGTCCCATCTGATGGTTATAATACACCAGCTGAGCGACTTCAAAAGTTGTTCTTTTTCCTGGCATTTTATTTTTCATAAAATTAAAGCAAAACGTTATAAATTGCAATAGAAAATGACAAGAAAAGTCGAAGACACAAGAGAAGCCAAAACGCATGGGCCCAAATCTAACGGGATCACCCAAAAGAGAACGGCAAAACAATTTACCGTAGCTGTAAAAACACTTTATTGACAGCATAAAATGTGAATGTTTTTAGTTTTTTAATTTTATAAAATGTTTGGGTAATGTTATTTAACAATTCTTTTTGCCATTAAGTTCTAGGAGAAATATAGAATCGAAATAAATTATAATTGAAAAAAAATTCTCACTTTTAGGTACATTTATTTTCAACTAAACCCAAAAAATTAGTTTTTTTTTGTTAGTAAAAACACTTTATTGACATACTGTATATAAATATATATAGATTGCTAATCAAGTTAGATTTGATTATTCTACAGATCTTTAAAGGGTATCAAGAGGTAATACAAATAAAAAAGTAGACACCACAGTAGCAAGATTAGTTTAAAAAATAACAGGACTTGGTTATCGATTTGTATCGGTTGCTTAAAAAGGATCACGTTATCGATTATCGGAAAAAAACTCGTACTTCGTTTAAATTTAAATTTCAATCTAAAAACGTTACTTTTCATAATTTCACCATGCAAATGTGTCTCATTCTTTGATTTACCTTTGTTCAGCTGCAAAATGAACCAAGAATGACAGTTAGAGCCTTCTTTAATTAAGAGTATTCATCAATTACACGCCTTGCACGCCCACCGCGCCCACACCTCCGCGACCTAAAACCACCCTCACCCACGCACCATTCTACTAAGCCTCCACAGTACACTCTCTGCTATTTATGAAGAAGGCATTTTAATTTCTGTAATCAATATGTAACACCCTGAAGGTTATCATATATTGTGATATATATATATTCTTTATGAGGTTTACAGATTCGTTGAGTTTTGTTGCATGCAAACTTTTGTTGCAGATAGGCAACATACATGTATGTACATATATTTCGCTGTCGAACTTATCGAACTACAATATTGTTAAACTGTCAATAATACGAGTGTCCTCGCCTATTAGGCGGACACTCTTCTTAGCCTAAGAAAGTATTCATTGCAATAGGAAAAATCGCTTGAAAATGTTTAATGTTAACTAGGGTATTCACTATTCGGCTTCCCGAAGGTGTTTATTTTTATTTTGTCTCCCAACAGGCATGTAATTAACATTAGTTGGTGGTGGGTGGTTTGGGGAATGCATTTTGCTGCCTGTTTTCATTTTGCGACATGTTAAAATTAATGCGTGTACTTAAGAGCTTTGCAGCCTACAAATGTGTGTATCTTCTGCCGGCAACAGCCATAAATCTTCAGGCCGTCCTTCAACCTAGAAATTCAATATCTGCCAAATCACTCGACGGTGAGTGTGGCGGATAGAAGAAGAGGCAGACGCATCCATCATATCTCACGTACGAACCTAAATTTGTATGCCATGCGGGTGCCCGTCTCTGAGAACAAGTAGAAGCAGGAGGCGAGAACGAGAACGAGAAAGCGCGACTTCCGACTTGAGCAGAGCGTATTTCACCACGGCACGATAATCACCACAAGACGACAATACCGTTCGCCAAGCTGCCGCATGTGGTGGAAATGTACTAAAACTAATATCGTGCTATAGCAAAGGATAAAAAAGATAATTAAAATGTATTCTTTTACACATTTTATAGCTGTTACAAAATATGTTTTTAAATCCCAAACGTAAATGCGCATTTTGATTGCTTTTTTAGCTGTTGTTGTTGTTGTTGTTGTAAAATTTGTATCTTGTTCTTGTTGTATTTTTGTGCGAGACCAACAAGTTTATAAATTTAAACGCTTTTGGGCTTTTCATAGTTTATGCGTTCTTGTTGTTGTCGTTTTGGCTATTCATGGGCGACCCGCTCTAAGCGCTCCACACGCACTTAAAACAACAAAAACAACAGCGACAAAAACGACGCGGGTCGACGGTTAGTTGGTTTATTGACATCGCTGCCGGCGTCAACGTCGGCGTCTGCGTCGCTGTTGCCACTTTTTTTTTTTTTCAAGTTCGTGAATTTTTAGCCGTTCGTTGACTTTTGTTTTGTTAACGCATTTATTTGTATTTTATGTACCAGTGTATGTGTGTCCGTCCCCAACTAATGTCATTTTAACACTGGTTTCTGTTCTGCTTTGTGCTCTATTATTGTTGCTCTATAGCAACGGCTGCTTGATCTCATGTCTTTTTGGCTTAAACGATTTTCGCAACCGTTTCTGGGAATGCCAGAAACTAAGTTCAGGCTGAGCACAAGTCCGGCGACTGAGATTAGGAGACCCGCAGCAACGTGTGTGGGGAGGCTGATCGAAATTTCCTGCACATGTCTACCCAGTCTCAGACATGAGTTTAACGCGAAATATGAGGTCAGTGCGAGGCCGGAGAGACAAGGGCTAGGGATCTAAGAAGAAGAAGAAACAATTGCCCTAATTAGCGATAATGTAAGGGGATATCGTGGGTGTTGAAAACCTGAAAAATATCGATTTCGGTCTTCATTTTTGGCATGTGTACAATACAAGGGTATAAAATAACGAATTCATTTCTTAAAATTTCCCAAACAATCAACTCAAATATCAATTTCATAATCTTTCCCTTTTTCTCTTTTATTACAGGTAAACACATTTTGCAATGCAACACGCCAGTGTTTAAAAGAGAACGCGAGAGAGAGAGGGAGAGAGATTTAGCTAGATCAAAGAGAGTAAGTCAACTAGGATACAACTACATACACACACAACTGCAATTGTCAAACGCAAAGGGGTTGCGGCTCGTCCGTTGCGGTTAGCAGCTGTTGCTAAAAAACATGCATATAAACTCTCATTTATTACTGTATTATTACGTAATCAAGCGTAAAACGATTTAAAAAAAAAATGCCTCATACTCTCATAATCGCACAATACTGTTAAAAGAATTAAACAATTGATTTCAAGCTCCCTTGAGCTTTTTTTATTTTTTTTAACTTCCGGCCTTCAAGAGCGCGTTTGCTCTCTGGCAGGCAAGCCTTGCACTCGGATCCACTACTCTCCCTCGTGAGAGCGAAAGGAAGAGAGAGCGAGAGAGCGGCAGAAGCAACGCTCGACAGCTGCATTAATTTTTCGGGTACAAGCTGCCTAATTTCCGGTTTCAAGTGTCACTTTTTCCTCCAATATGATTGAAAAAGCCATAACAAACACATACATATATGCATGTACCTTTAGGTGTGTGTGTGTGTATGTGTAAATGGCCTGCATTCTTGTTGTTTTTATGGTTTTTGGGTTGGGTTACGTTCAGCAACGCCGCTGCCAGCAGACATCTGGCTGTGGCTGCCTGTGACAATGACAGCTGCTAAAAGGGCCAGAGCCCAGAGACTGCATCCATCATGCTCTCTCGCTCTGTGCTTGAAACGAATCGAGCCCAGCCGAGTCGGCATTTAATTGGCTGGTTGTGTGTTTAATGAGCGCGCGCTCGATTGAATTGTCTGTCAATATGGCAATAAAACTGTTTTGAGGTTAGGGCTGACTAATTCAAAGAATGCAGCCTCAGTTTGGCTTATCATGTCGTTATTATATAGCCAAACGTTTGTCTTTTGTCTTGTAATTGTGTATTTGTCAATAGTAAAAATATTTAAACGTTGTTTTTTCCATGCTGCAGCCGTCGTTGCCTCGTCCCGCCTCTTTTTGTTGTTGTTTTTGTTGTTTGTTTCTTTGGCACGTTCGACGTCTCGTTCGTCATTGGGGGTTCATGAACCGCTTGCAAGGACAGTCGGAGCAAGCAAGCGCAGGCAGATCGATCACAGAAGCTTAAGCTCGAAAATGAAATAAGACGTCGAGATGCCGTGTGCCATTTTCCACTTGTTTCCTGTGCCGCCGCACACATGCACACATGCATACATACACACATATATATAACACTTGAACCCATAATTCTCAGAATCCGAACAGGCAGACAGACGGAGAGCAGAACAAATAAAGCAGACGCGCAGCGCGCCGCCTTCTTATGCTACAGCTCTTCGCCCCTGTCTGACAACAAAAACAACAACAACGACGACGATGGTGTTGCCACCTCCTGCGTGAGTCACACATCGGGCAGCAGAGACACACACACACACACACACACATATGCATATGTATGTAAGCAGGCGGACTCAATCAAAGTTGGCAACGTTGGCCAAAGCGCACAAAAAATCACTGACCTTGACTTTTAACAAAGTTTAAGGCCCTTTTAGTTGCCAACAAATACATGCACACACACACACACACACACACACGCAGCATAATTATATACAATTCGTGTGTGCATGTGTGCGTGTGTGTGTATTGGAGCCAAGCGCGCTCGTTTCTAGACTGGTTTATTGTGCGCTGCTGCTACTGGCGCTGCCTCAGCCGCCGCTGCGCGCTATTCTTAAGCTTGCTTAACGCACATGACGCAAGCGTCGTCCGCTGCTGCGCAGACTTTTACATTTTTCCTATTGCATCAGCGCGTAGCGTCTATCACGCATACATACATACACACACACACACACACACACATGTGTGTATGTACATACCTGATCGTTTTATTTATTGTTGTTTCTGTTGTAGCCTTAACCATAAAAAGTTGTGTGTATGTACAAAAATAGCACATTTAACTGAACAGCAGGCCGCAAATCATCTTTTACCTGTCTTCTCTTTCTTTTGTTTTCAATTCGCTCTTTCTTCATGCTACTTATGAGCCGGGGTGTTAACACGGCCAATCCAATCATTCAATATGCAAATCTTGTCGAATAAATAATACATTGATAGGACATCACACATATGTTTTAAATTAATGAAGTCTAGTCTTTTTCCAAATTTTTGTTTTCTTCTTAATGCCGCTGCAACTCGTTTACTCGCTCCATCCACACTCTTACTCCATTACACACACACACACACTCAGACTTCCTGCCGCAGTGGAGTGCACTGCTCTCCTTGTTCTGGCTGCTTCTCACTCTTGTACTTCTGTCATTCTACTGTGTGTGTGTGTGTGTGTGTGTGTGTGTGTGTGTGTGTGTGTGTGTGTGTGTGTAGGAGGTTGTCAGAGGTCAGTCTCATCGCTAGCAGCGCAGTCGTTGCTGGCCTATGTACAATACATTCCACATGTACATACGTTCCATATGCCATTTCGTTGCGCATTGAGCATTTTTTGTTGTGTTGTGGGACCCCCAAACTAGATTTAGCTACCATGCCGCGCAACGGAGCTGCGTTCTTTGTCTCTGTTTTATGCGCGCCGAACTGGTTGTGTGAGTTTTTGACTTGGCGTTGGTTCGTTCCGTTCCGTTTCATTTTGTTTCATTTCATTTCATGTCGACGTCTGTTCCATGCCCGCCGCTCGTATCTTGTAAAATTCTTCTATGTTTACTCATTCTCATTCAGTTCTTTGCGCTCGCCGCATAAACAACGTGTACACGCTAACGTCGTCGTCCTCGTTGGGTCCGTTGTCGTTTCGTCCATCATCAACCGTCGCGCTGTGTCGTACGTTTCTACCAACGGTTGTTGCACATTTCAATGTATGCGTGAGTTTGCAAAGCAAAACAGCAATAAAAAGTATTAATAATAGTGTAATAAATAAATAAAAGTGCAGCGCACGCTTCTCTGTACATACATACATACATACAAACGTATAAAAACAGTTTTTCCTGTTCCTCTACACACGCCGACCGACGCCAACACAAGCATTAACAGCATAGCAGCAGCAGCAGCAGCAGCAGCGGCAACGGCAACGTCTGCGTCGCAGAGTTCATCAACTTGTTTAGAATCGGCGCGCTGAGTACGTGGTACGTGAGTGCGTGGCTGTCTCGTTTGCTTATGTGCATGTATATGTGTATGTGTATGTGTATATGGATATGTATATGTATATGTTGTGTGTGCTGTTGCCTTTTTCCTGCTCGCCTTTTACGTTTCATTTGTCTACGAGTGCCGCTTCACTTGCGCGCGCTATGCATGTATGTGTTTGTTGGAATACGGATACGGCGCAATGCAGTCAACAACAACAACAGCAACAACAACAACAAGAACAACAATATTTAAACGTCTTGCTTTTAGGTTTTGCTTTGCTTCGTGTTTGTTCTTTTTCCGCGCATTTTGTGTTGTTTGTATTAACGTTTACACATTTTTTGTTATTATTATCTCATTTCTTATTGTTGTCTTGTATTTTTAATACCCCTGCCTTGGCGGCCTGTCTACAGTCGCATCTGTAAATTAAGGCCCAGTGATAAACAAGTTTTGACAGTGGCAAAGTCTTAATACTTAGACATACTACTATGATAGAGGCATTAAAGGTTAATAGTTCAACGACAAACAAAACCACAACAACAACAACAACAACAACAACAAGTTATGCATAGCACTTTGTGTGTATCTACGATCACTTAATCGCTTTCATATTATAAACCGCAACTAAATTGGGTTATATTCACAAATAAAATCAAAAGCGAAACGTCAACAATATTATTGTTTCATGTGGAGTTGATTAATGATATAAATCAATCATGTTTTCCTTGTTCGGTTCCGTTTATCTCCACCGGTGTACTATATCAAGGCTTAAAGAACAATTTCTACAATTGTTGCGATAATGTGGTAAAAGTAAACTTGAATAATTTTCACCTTGCACCACTTAAAAATCGTATCGGATAGCGAAAGGTGCGACAACCTTTTCGGGGGCGCGACCTTGCGCTGTGCCTATTGGATTGGCAGCAACTGTATAAACAATGATCAAGATTTTAACTGCTATTGGATATTGCCGCTACTGTTGTTGTGCTGATGCGGAAGAATAAAATGTGTTGTTTTTTGTTCTCTCTCGCTCTCGCTCTCCCCCTCTCTTTTTCTTTTTCTTTGTGTACATATTTTAAAATCAAATTATTACGGCAATGCTCTTTAATTTTACTCACATCCCGCGACCGACCAACCGTCGACTGGACAGACCGACGTCTGACGACGTGTGAGCCACGCTGGTTTTCAACTCATTAAAATACAACGGACTTTCAGAAAAAGATTGCGATTGCGTCGGTGTGTATATATATATGTGTGTGTGTGTGTTCTTTTTTACGTCAAGCAAAAAATCGAAAACCGTGTTTAAAATGTTTACACACTTGTTTATTTAGCTATTGTTTTCCATGCGAATTGTTTTACGCTCCATATCGCAATTGGTCTGATCAAGAAAAGTAGCGCCCTATGACTGTAACACTAGCATCCCACTCGCATCCATACAGTTGTTTGCAGTTGCAGTAAATAATATTCTCGATATAAACATGAATTTCGGGAAGAATCTTCTAATTATGCATGAGTACATCTGTACACATTCTTTCGTCACATGCTAAAGCTGTATTATTTGTTTTTTTTTTTTTTTTCTAGAACTTTGCAACACTTTCCGTTCCCGTTGCCGCCAGTTCCAATCTTAGTGTACCAATTTTTTATATGTATGTATTTTCATTATCAAAAAGTCGCGCTTGTTTAGTTGCTCGTTGCTCGGCTGCATGACTCTGGGTCTGGGTAAGGGGGCTTGTGTCGAGTTCCACGTAATAGATAAAGAAAGATACATAGCTTATGTGTATATGCACACTGTACTGTATTCAGTGTACACAAAACGAAAATTGGTACAACTCTAATTGAAAATGTTAAAGTAGATAGTAAATATTTATCAAAAGTTTACACGCAAAAGACCCAACAGACACGTACCATTTGATTGGATGCATTGGCTGCAACAAAACTAGCAGCCGTAGCTGGGGGCAATTCGACTGTGATACCGATACGAAACATGATTTTTCGGTTACATCAATTAGCTGTATACACTGTTATGTGCTGCACTGTGCGCGTGCAACTGTGTGACTGAGCAGGCACAATGTTTAGGCATGCCACTGTCAAAGGTAGGACGACAGGCATTTAACATTAACAGGAGAGTTACAGCCAACTGCGAAGCTCACGACAAATCCACGGACAGTAGGAATGAAAACTAAACGCAAAACAAATAAGAATTGCAACCTATGAAAAAGATTGCTCGACCCGTGGGATGCCTTCTGAAAATGCCCCCCCCACTACTTTACTGCACGCTTGGGCCTGTACGCAAAGTACAGGGTATAAGAACAGCACTGATGACACGGCGTTGACCTGCTGGACCAGCCAGAGAAGAGAGAGAGAGAGAGCAGCAAGGAGAGATAGTGAGATAGCGAGAGCAGATAGTGAGAACAGGCGATGAAAGAAGAAGCAGTTCATGAAGTGTCTGCGACTGTGAGGTTGCTTGTGTTGTTGTCTGCTAAATTGGATGCAGTTGTTGTTGTTGTTGTTGTTGTTTCGTTCTCGCTGTCTGCCGTCGTCTCCTACGACAACACAATAAAAAAAAAAAAAACAACTCCCTTATGTGTGTATGTGAGAGGGTGTGTGGAGGTGGGGGGAAAGGGTCGTTTGCCATTGTCTTCTTGTTCAATAAAATGCGCCGTCGCCGAATGAATTTCATTCAGCAGAAATAGCAGCAGCATTGGCGGCAACGGCAGCTGCTGCTTTGGGGGTCAGATGCTGCTGACGCATAGCCCGCGACATCTGTTGCGTTGGCAAAGGAGAGGCAGAAGGCGAAGGGGTAGAACCATCAGAGGCTCAGACAATGTCTTCGAATTCAGCGAATTGGTTTTGCTTCGACAGAAAATGGCAAATAATAATTTGCATCAGACGCGCGGTTCGTGCTGCACGCCTTAACGTCCATCCCATCCAGGCATGCTGCTGGCAGGCGGTACCTTTTCTCGATGGTCGCGTCCGTGACTCTACGAACATACACACACACACACATACATAGATACATATATATATATATATAGAGTAAGTTCTTTGGCGTTCGTGTGTGTGTGTGTGCAAGTGTGTATGTATCTGCAGCTGCAGCCCGTTTAGAAACGATGGCGCAGGTAAACGGTTTCGTCGTCGTCGCCGTCGTCGCAAATTTCGCATGCTTTGTTCTGTTTTACAAGTTGCGTTTTGTGCTCGGCTTCTATTTTTTGCGCGTCTGTGTCATGCTCTTTGGCTTTGTTGTGGTTGTTGCCGCTGGGTACCATTGAACTCTGCTGCTGCAACCCCAAATGGACAGAGGGGAATGCCATGAATTGAAACGTTTGTTTGTTCGCCAGCCCATTTGTTTCTGTGTGCATGCGAAATTGAAACAAACGAACTCTAAATGCATTTTAGTATTTTGCAGTTGTTGTTTTTTTTTTTTTTTGGGTTCGCTTTGTCTGTTATGCCTTACATTGTATGCAGTTTCGTGGTGTCTCGCATTCCACCGTCGTTTGCAGCTGCCTTCGCCTCCTCCCCCTCCGATTTGTTGTTGTTACAGGCCTGGCTGGCTGGCCGCCTACCCGCCCTGAACTTGATATTATTTTTGTTGCTGATGATGTGGTTGGTTGGGCTGCTGTTCTTTTGCTCCTCTTGTTCTTTTCTTCTTCTTTATCCAGCTCTTCTATTTGTATGTACGTATGTATGTATGTACTTTGCTTCCGTCTGTTTCTGTGAACAGTTTTCAGCCATGAAATTAATAATCTTTTACAAATTGTTTTGCATTAGTAATGGCTGCGCAGTTTGTTTCCATTTGTTCCATCGCCCCCGCAATTTTACTCCGCTGCGCATATTTGAACTTAATGACCCCAACGCAAGCCCTCAGTGCACTACACTGCCGCCAGCCCATCAGCATTACAGCCTGATTATTATTATTATTAGCTCCTATTTTTAAATACTTTTACAGGCTCTGGAATTTTTGTAGTACATGTTTTTCATCAACCGCCCGAAGAGGCAACATATGGCATTGTCATAAACCTCTTCTCTCTCTCTCTCTCTGTCTCTGTCTCCCTCTATCTCTTTTCTTCTGATATTTATCATGTCATGATAATATACAATCCAACTGTCTGTGCTAGTGCATATTTACAGACATATAGGACACGACCTTATCGCGCAACCCGTACATACCCTATAATCTAATCACCTATCCGTTAGGTCGCTTGCCCGACTCGCGCTATCAATTGGTAATTTAGTATGTGTTCTTTTTTTTTTTTGGATATGTTGCTGTCATAGTCGTCAAAATAGCAACTACTGCTATTTACTGTTATGGTTTTGGTGTCACGCAATAAGTTTATTATTAAGCAACCTGTTGAAATTGCTGGCAAATTATGAATCTAGTATATTGAGTCAGAACGGTATTTATATGTATGTATGAATGCAGGATCGATGGCATTAGCTAGTATTTCCACTTTTGTAGAGTCCGATAAATAAACATTTTGTTGTTTTTTTTATCAATTTATTTATTTAGAACAAGTTTAAGTAAACTTATTTTGTATTTGTTTTGTTCCGTTTTTATTATTTAAAGCATTTGTTTCTATTTAAACAAACTCTTGGTATTTTTATGATAATGAAATAGATTGACTTATTATTTACATATCGATTCCATAACGACAAATATTCAAAATATTTAAATTTAATACTTGTGAATAATATAGGCTTTAAAATTTAATTATTAATTTAATTTTTTTTGTTTATAATAGGTATACAATTTGTTAAGGACTCGATCTTTATGCATACATATACATATACATCATTTATTCGTTCAATTACACTAAGCTTGACTTTATTTGCAACAGTTTTCAACACTGTCAAAAAGATTCTACGTGTACATAAATTGATGCATGCACATGTGTTAGTATGCGTGCAAATGTAATTATTCCATGCATACATACATACACACATGCATGTGTGTGTATGCACGTCTGGCTATTTCGTCTACATGTAGAGAAATTTTTGCTTTGCAGTTACTTAAGCATACACATGCATACATATGCATTTAAATACATGCACACGCATTTACATACGTTTGCTTGTATGCTGTGTGCATTGCCTCTGGTATCTGCTGTCTGCGCGTCATTGCTAGCATTTTCCATGTAGTGTGACAACAGAAAGAACAAACAACATGCAAAAGGGCAGAAGAACTTCTCTGTTTGCAGCTAGACTGCACCGGTGCGGCAAAGCGAGCAGTTCGAATTCGACGCGAAAGTTCTGGTGGCGCTGCCGGCAACATAGGCGAAAAAGTATGCTCGCCCACTCAATATTAGAAGAAGAAGAAGCACAAAGAGCAAGAGCTGAGAGCAACACAGCTTGTTATTGCTCTTGTTGTTGTCATTGCCCAAAAATGGAAAACATGCGCAGCCTATAAAACGAGAGAGCGAGAGCGAGAGCAAAGAGATGCCGACATGTTATCGGTTTATCGTTCGCTGTTGCTTCCTGTTACATTTTGTTCTCTGAGCGCGCAACCTGTAGCGCTGCGGCGACGACGACGTCGGCCATGGAAAATTGTTGCTTTTAGTTAGTTGGTTTGAGTGGGTGACTGGCCGACGCCATATTGTTTTAAGGGTTGCACTGTTTGTCCGTGCGCTATTCGCTATAAGGGGGGGCTGTACAATTCAGTTTGTACCGGTTGTTGGGCCGGCATTCAACAGTTCGGCATTTATACGCCGTCTCCCTCTCTCCCTCACACATTAACTCTCATCGTGCGCTGTTGCCGTGTGCCTTGTTGCCTGTTTGCCTGTCTTTTTCCGTGTGTACTGTAAATATTAATATTGATTTTTCCCAAATTGTGTGTATGTGTGTGTGTGTGTGTGGTATGTTTCGGCTGCCGCCTCTGCTGTGCGGCTGGTAATTGGCAATAATTTTGTTTTATGCTGCCTTCGCATCTTCGCCTGCGTCCGCACCACTGCAACGTGCAGTGTTGCATTTGCTGCTGCTGCTGCTGCTGCTGCTGCTCTGCCGCGTACACAGGACACGCTCTCTGCAGGAGCATGAGCAGCGCTGTCAACGTCGACGTCGACGTCAGCCTCGTCGGCTGCTGCTGCTGTTGGCAGCTTTACCCGGGTCGCTGAATAATGCGCAAAGTTAGTTTTGCAGGGAGCTGCGTCGCAAGCGCGTCGCGTTATCATTTTCCACGGCTCTGTGTTGGTGACCAACGGACTTAGAGTGCAAAGTGCATGGTGCAAAAAAAAAAGAGAGAAAATTTGAATTGAATATTATTTGCTTAAGTAGTATTAACTTAAGTTATGTGAAAATATTAATCGCGTTTCTGTTCGTATTTCTATTGCAGCATTTTGTGCGCGCAACGCAATTGAATTTGGCAAATTGGCAGCACCCAAAAAGTATGATACAAATTCAACAGCCACAACAACAACATTGAGGACCACATTACGCCAAATTGGCAGCATTTTTTGACTGCATTGAAAGCGAATGCAAAAAAAACAAAAACAAACCACGAAAACAGAAAATAAAATCAAATTTATTAAAAGCAGGCGAAAAATACAACTAAAGAGGTAAGTCAATGCCTCGTAAAGGCTCTCTCTCTCTCTCTCTCTCTCTCTCTTTCTCTCTATGTGTGTGTGTGTGCACATACATTCAGTCTAGACAGTTGCACCCGCCTAACCTCTAACCCCCGCGCCCACAACCTCCCATTTGGGGAGCGCGCTTTGTTGCCTTGCCGCTTCACTGGGCGCATTATTCGAGGGTTGATTTTCGTTCCATTTCGTTTCGGTTTGGCTTTCACTTCCCGACTTCTTCGAGTGAGGCCTTTGTTGACGGATGTTTCGTGTGTGTGTGTGAGTGTGTGTGTGTGTGGAAATGGAAATCTAGAAAAGTTCCTTGTCCGTTTGCCGCCGCTTGTTTACTTTTATTTTTGCTGCGAGGGGTTGCACGACCCTCAAGCATCTTGCGGGTCCCCTTTGTGCGTGCGCTTATTGCATTTCCTGTTGATGGTTGAAGTGTTAGTTGGGTCTCGCAGTTGGGGGCAGTTGCTAGGACTACAAATGACAAGAGGGTAGGGTACAGCCGCGAATTGCGTTAAGCGAGCACTTTGTTTCTATTTGGCAGAGTCTTTTCGCTTCAAACGGGGCTCACCTGTGTGCGAGGGGCACAATTAGCCACAAATTATGTTACGAAAAGGTGAATCATAATTTGTAAAAAAAGAGGCAAAAACCAGAAGAAGAAAAACAAAACGTTGCTGAGTCACACAAAGGCTGCTTTGAAGCAAAGAAAGCGGGACGGGCCGGGGCGGGGATGAAACTCTCAGCGATTTGTAGTTGGGTCAAGGCGCCGACTAACAAATAACAATAACATTTGCTGAATATGCAAAGTTAATCAAATTAATTGCCTTGGCTATAGCAAATGCCAGTAAAATAAATATTAATAAATAAATAGAGCTCCTTGAAGAGTGCTTCATTTATTTAAGCTATTTCTATTAAAGACAAGATGCTACAGTTCGGTTTGAGGGATTGGGAATCAAATTACTATCTCTAGGGATTAATGGGGTAAAAAATAAGTTCATGTATTGCCTTTTGATACGTCAAATCATCCCTATTATCATATGATATTAAAGCTGATATCTGATTTGAAACAATCGCATAATTTCTTCTGTTTATGCCCAATTGTTTATTTATAAATCCCATGTTTACTCATGCATCCTGTGTTAAATTTGCTCTGCTTTCAGGTGTTTGAGCAGCAGCTAGAGATCTGGGCAGCGTACATAAGTGGAGCTAGAAGAAAACAATTAAAGACACCCACACAGACACACAGAACGATGGCGTCTTCGCCGACTCCATCGCTGGACTCCATGCGTGGCGCCAACTCGATTGAATCTTATGAGCATGCCGGCTATCTGTCCGATTCGCCGCTGACGCTGAGCGGATCGTCGCCACCGGTTAGCGATTCGGCGATCTGCAGTGATGAGTACATAGCTGGCAGCCAGGTCAGCGTGAAGGTGCGCCAGGATGTGACGGTCATCAATGGGCATCATCCGATATCGGCCTCCGTATCGTCCAGCTCGTCGGCCAGCTCATCTTCCTGCTCGTCCTCGTCATCGTCGTCCTCGTCATCGTCCAGCTCATCCACCAGCGGTCTCAGCGGCTGCGGCAGCACCAGCAGCAGCGTCATCAGCAGCTCCAATGTCAACAGCAATGGCCCGGGCGTCATAGGCAGCAATTTGCCCAGCAACAGCAGCAACAGCATCAGCAGCCTGGTTGTTGGCGCCGGCAAAGGCAACAACAGCAGCAGCAACAACGGCAGCAGCGGCAACAACAACAACAACAGCAGCAACAACAACAGTCTCACAGCCGCACGCTGCACCGCCTGCAAGAGCAAGTGCAGCGACGCGGTGGCCAAATGCTTCGATTGCCAGAGCTATTTGTGCGCCAACTGTGTGACAGCGCACGAATTTATGCACTGCTTCAACGGGCACAATGTCTGCCTGATCAAGGGCTTCGAGGCGACCAGCAACGGCAGCAGCAGCAGCAACACGCCCAACAGCTGCAACAATCCAGCCTCCAGCGACTTCAAGTACGCCAGCTCGCTTACAATGATGCTGCAGCAGCAGCAACAGCAGCAGCAACAACAACAGCAGCAGCAGCAGCAGCAACAGGCACAAATGACAGACGCACAGCCGCAGCAGCCCATGTCGCAGCTGTCGAAGATTGTGCTGGCAGCAGCAGCAGCAGCCAACAACTCGCAGGAGCAGCAGCAGCAGCAGCAGCAACACGAGACACTGTACACACCGCACTTGCAACAACAACAGCAACAGCAACAGCGACAGCTCTTCTGTGCACGCCACAAGCACGAGCTGTTGAAGTTTAGCTGCCGCACTTGCTGCACGCTTGTGTGCAAGGAGTGCATTGTACTGGAGCACTCGACAGGTCTGCACGAGCTGGAGAGCGTGCAGTCGCCAGCAGCTGTGGCTGGCGCCGCCGGCAACAGCCAGAACGAGGCGGCGCTGCAAACGCTGCTCGCCGATATGCGCGGCAAGATTGGAGAGATTGTAGCCGTGGCCAATAGCGCCGAACAGTGCGTGACCAAGGTGAAGCTGCAGTACCAGAAGGCGCACAACGAACTGAACGAGACGCATCAGTTCTTTAGCTCGATGCTGGATGAGCGCAAGACAGAGCTGCTCAAGGAGCTGGAGACGGTCTATACGGCCAAGGTCAACAGCAATGTGATGTGGCTGCAGCGTTCCAAGGACATCACCGACAAGGGCCTGGCGGCCTGTGAGGCCGTCGAGCGCTCGCTAACAACTGGCGTCCAATCGCCGCTGCTGCCCGAGGCGATGCTGCTGCGCAAGAGTCTGGAGCAGCAGCTGCAGACGGGCGTACAGGACATGCAGCTACCCTTCGAGCTGGAGTTTATGTCCAACTATCAGTCCATACAGGCCGGCGTACGCAACACCTTTGGCTATATTCGTGCCAGCAACGGTGTCGGCTCCGGCTCTGTCAGTGGCAACTGCTCCGAATCGAGCCTCAGTCTTGCTCACAGTCACATCAGCCACGCCCAGAATCACGTTCACGGCAAGCAGCCGCCCATTGCGCGGCCCACGCAAAGTGCGAGCAACAGCAGCGCGAGCAGCGCGGGCAGCCATCATCATCATCAGCAACAGCAGCAACAGCAGCAGCAGCAACATCTTCAGCTGCAGCAGCAACAGTTGCTGCCGGGCCTGGGCCTGGGCAGTCTGCTGGACAACAGCAGCAATGGCAGCAACAGCAACGGCAGCGTCTATACAAATGGCGCCGGCTGCCTATTGCTGGGCGGACGTGAACGCAACCTGAACGATCTGCAGCACTTTGGCGAACTGTTGCCCAAGCGTGCCACAAGCATGACGCACTACAATCCCTACGAGAAGTGGAGCAACGGAGGCAGCGACAATTTGTTCAACACAACGGCGGCGGCAACAATTGGCGGCAACGGCAACAGCAGCTCGGCTGTGGTTGATGCCTTCGCCAGCCTGTCGTCGGTCAATCTCAATGGGAGCAGCAACAACAGCGCCGTTAGCAACGAATCTCTGCTCGATCTGACCAACAAGCTGCTCTCGGCCTCCATATATCCACCCAAGTCGCAAATCAAGCGCCAAAAGATGATTTACCATTGCAAATTCGGCGAATTCGGCGTCATGGAGGGCCAGTTCACGGAACCGAGCGGTGTGGCGGTCAATGCCCAGAACGACATCATTGTGGCGGACACGAACAATCATCGCATCCAGATCTTTGACAAAGAGGGACGCTTCAAGTTCCAGTTTGGCGAGTGCGGCAAACGCGACTCCCAGCTGCTCTATCCGAACCGTGTGGCCGTTGTCCGCAACTCTGGCGATATTATTGTCACCGAACGCTCGCCCACACACCAGATCCAGATCTACAATCAATATGGCCAGTTTGTGCGCAAGTTCGGAGCCACCATATTGCAGCATCCGCGCGGCGTCACCGTCGACAACAAGGGACGCATCATTGTGGTCGAGTGCAAGGTGATGCGCGTCATCATATTCGATCAGAATGGCAATGTGCTGCACAAGTTCGGCTGCTCGAAACATCTGGAGTTTCCCAATGGCGTTGTGGTCAACGACAAACAGGAGATCTTCATTAGCGACAATCGGGCGCATTGCGTCAAGGTCTTTAACTATGAGGGACAGTATCTGCGCCAGATTGGCGGCGAGGGCATCACCAATTATCCCATCGGCGTTGGCATCAATTCGAATGGCGAAATTCTCATTGCGGACAATCACAATAACTTCAATCTGACCATTTTCACCCAGGACGGCCAGCTGATCTCGGCGCTGGAATCGAAGGTGAAGCACGCCCAATGCTTCGATGTGGCGCTCATGGATGATGGCAGCGTGGTGCTCGCCAGCAAGGACTATCGACTATATATCTATCGCTATGTGCAACTGGCGCCCGTGGGTATGTAAGCAGAGAGCCTTGACAAAACACATATAGAAAAAAAACAAAAAAAAAAAAAAACGACAAGAAAAACATGCAGAAAATATACAAAAACAGACGACGCCAGAAATTCGGAATTCAGAACTTTGAATTCGAAAAAAAAAAAATAATTAAAACAAGTTGGCAGTTCTGACTTGCGCGCGCGCTCTTCTCTAAAGTCTATCGCTCTCTCTCTCTCTCTATCTCTCTCTTTCTGCCTCTGTCGCTGTCTCTCATAGCATAGCATAGCATAGCAAGAACTCTCTCTCTCTCTTTTATATATTATATATACTTACTATATTTTTATTATTACCTTTTTAAATTATTGTTGAATTTTGTTTTTTACACTGTGTTAAGACTTAACGTATGTTTTTTTTTTTTTTTATATTTTATTATATTTTATTTTTGTGTATTACCATTTTTGTTTAAATTGTTCACAAAAAAAAAAAACTCGAATGGCGCCTCCGCCACGCCCTCTTGGCAGTTGCAAGTCTCTTCAGTGACATTTCGTTTTAAAAATAATACACAAAATATACCAGAAAGCAAATCCCTCCACTTTTTATGTTCGCTCGTCAAACAAAAAAAATAAAAAAACAAAAACAAAAAAAAAAATTACATAAAAACAAATGATTACAATTACAAAAAAGAAAAAAAGCTAATTTAAAATAATTGCTTGAACAATTGAATTTACACACAAGTAGATCGAGCATAAACAAATACTTTATTGATTGTAATTTTAAGTAATGCGCAATTGTTTGTTATTATTTTTGATTGCATATAAACAACAAGAAAATGAAAAAGAATGAGAAATTTTTGATATATATATATATTGAACTGTTTTTTATGTTTATAAATTATTTTTTGATTGTAGTAAACTTATTGATTACTGATTAATGATTATTTATATTCATATATGTATTTTTATTATTATTATTATTATTATTACGACAAACTTATTATTATTATTATTACTATTATGAAATTTTTGCTACTTTTTTACCAACAAAACACAAAACAAAACCAACAACACACAACTTTTTTATACTCGCTTAGCTTTTATGTTTCATTGTTTGATTATTATTATCATTATTATTATTATTATTAATATCATTAGTGCTTAAACGAAACACAACATGAAATAATAATTAATACTTCAAAAAGCAGACATTGCCGCTTCTTAATTTGTAAACACAACAACTAAACTAAACGCACTGAAAATAGCTGAAATTATTCTTCTTAATTGTTGATTTACACACACACACACACACACGCACACGCACACATATGCATTTATCTACATGTATGTGTGCGTGTGTGTGTGTGTGTGTCATGCATCAAATGTGTTTATTTATTTAAATTCATATGATTTTTTTTTGTACATTATTTTTTGTTTTTAGGTTTTGTTTTATTTAAGCGTTTTGCTTAAACGATTTGACGCTCAATAAAATTGTCAAATTGTTGTTAAACATTTAAAGAAGAAGAAGAAAACTACAATTTAAAAAAAAAAAACTATTTGTTATTAGTGTAGTATGCATCAGATTGAAATATGAATACAATTAATTAGTAGATGTTTTTTCTGCTGGTGGCAAACGATATAAAAAAAAAAAAAGAAAAGAAAAACAAGAAACAACAATTGAAATATAATTCAAAGAGGAATAACACTAAAAATGGTTGGCAATCAGCGCAGAAGACTTAAACAATTTATGATTATAAACAATTAGAATTAACAAATGCATGTATATACATATACGATATATGTGTATTCATAATATAGACATGCAGCTTAAGTATATAAATCAAAATCTCAATTAATCGAAATTCATCTAATCGCAACTCGAAATCAGATAAACTTGATCTTGATTAAAGTACTTGAAAACTTTGTATTCAATATTTGTGCCGTTGTTGAGTTAATTTTGCAATTATTTTAAGCGCTTTTTATGTGTTCCAATTATTAATATTATTTTTCAACGAATTCTCGTTTTCGCTTCAATGCAAAATCAATAAACAGCACGGTTCAGAATCGGGGTTTGTTAAATACTTGCAACAAAACAAATGATAATAATAACAAAGTGAAAGATTTCAATTAGGAAGCAACTGTATGAACTTTTGAGACTACAAACGCAACAGTAACAGGAACAGCATTTAAAAAATGTTTATTTATAATTTACAAAAGCTGAATTACATCAGAGTATAAATACAATATTGAATAATATATTTGTTGTTTATATGTATTATTATTATTATTATTATTATTTTTGTGTGTGTGCTTTGCGCCTAAGTAGTATTAGAATTATTATTTGCTTTTGTGTGTTGTTGTTTCATTATTACTTTTGAATTCCTATGATTTGTTTTTGAAAAACGCTTCAAGTAATATTTTGTAACTGGCATTTTTGAATTTGACGTACGTTCGTTTTCACTTAAGTGAGATTATTAAATTCTAGACGTTTAACAAAGCACAGACATACATAAAATACATATATTTATATATACTTAGCTATGTATTTGTATTTGTACTGCGATTCGCAGTGCAAAAGGCGATCCTTAAACTTAATGCTTGTTGTAAACTATGAACTAATTAAATTCGTGTAATGTAATTTAAAGTACTGTAATATGTAATATGTAATTGTAATATGTAATTGTGTGTGTAGCTCTAATGGAACGGTAAAACAAAGTATTGTATATTTCTTGTGAGAACTTTTTACTTGACACCAAAACTGAAACTGTTGAAAATTTTTTATATACTTAAAAATTGTTAATCATACACGAAGCGAAACTGCTAATTGATGGTATTTATAATGGCCTAAAAACATATATACATAATACTATTTAATTGTATTTATTATTATTATTATTATTATTAATTATATTAGCGTATTAACATTTGCACAACAGCAACAACAACAACAACTAAAACTACGCAATGAAAAAATCAAAAATGAAAAAAATAGAATACAAGAAGAAGGAAACCAGCCGACTAATTGACTTGTGCTTATTTGTTTTTTTTTTTTATGTTTACTATTAAATTTGATTATTACTTTTTTAAATGTTACACAAAAAAGGGACACAAATAACTTTAATATTAACATTAGCATAGAGAATGCAAGCAAACAACATTTACATGCATATTACGAATTGTTGTAAAATTAAAACATTTAATACACAAACACACGCAAAACCGCCACAAAACAAGACGTAACAAAAGTACATAATTAAATGATTTTTTTATTTTCTATTAATTCCGACAAAAGAAAGAAAAAACAACTGTATGCATTGTGTTTTTATTTTATCGTTTAATTTTGGTTTACATTCTGTTAGCGCACCAAACATATGTTAACGGAAGCCGCTGTTAACTAACATTGCAAGAGCGGTGCAGCTGCATGGGACATTCCTCTCTCGCTTGCGCTTCCTCTTTCACGCTCTTTTGTCCACACACAACATTCAAGTGATGCATTTCGGCTGCATTATGTATATGGAAGAATATGAAACTTAATTAAACTAATATATATATATATATATCTATATAAATATATCTATTTATATATATATATATGATATAAATGTATGTTGATAACAATTTTGATGAATTGAGAATCTAATAGACTGTGCAAAATGAATATGTAACAATTTTTTAAATATATATATTTGTATTGGTATATATATTTAAAGAACTAATGCCCAAAAACATATTTATCTAAGCTAAATCGTGCAACTATAACACACTGTGCGCTATCTATAAAAAAAAAAAAAAAAACAAATGAAAAACAAAAACAAAACAAAAAACGCATACATACACACGTACATATATTGAACATTTTAAGCATATTGTATATTTTTTTTTGTCAAACCAAGAAAAGAAACGGAAAATTCAACTAATATGTAAACTTTTTATACCGCCAATTAACTGTGCTCTCTTAATATATACATACATGCATATATTATATATATATATAAGCATAAACAATGCCACAGTCTGAGCCAATTATCGATAAACGATAGACGATAACCATGAAGCTCGGGCTGGGGCTTCGTGAATTTTAAGACATATACCCCCATCTATTTATTGATATAAATATATAAATGTATATGTATGTTAAAATCATTAACTATATATTTAGTTGGTATGCGTGTGCCGGCAATTGTGATTAGTTTTGGTCGCCGCCTCGTTTAGAAATCGATCGTTTCACCACTACCACCAAAAATTGAAATTACAAAAAAAAAAAAAAACAAAATAGAAAAAGGAAAGAAATCAAAATCAAGCGATCACTGGCAAACGATAAACTAAGGCATATATAGTCATAAGAATAAAGTGCTGATGTAGCAACACGTTTTCATTGTTAGGCTATGAATGTTACACTAATATTAAATCCAAGAAAACAAAAAAGTAAAACCTATCTTAACTTCAGCAGTCCAAGTCTGGTTACATACACATAAAAACAAAAACAAAAACAAAAAGCGAAATAGGGCAATGGCTTAGTTTGGTGTTGAGGTTGGTTGGAGTTGAGTTGAGTTTGAGGTTGAGACTGTCGGCACGAGTTAAATCGAGATCTAGATGAGCCCGTGGACGAATGGATATGCAGAAATCATTTTTAATGTAGTTTATATTTTTGATAAATGTTATTAAGCAAAAGTACCCAAAATCAAAGCAAAACGATAAGCAAAAGCATACGCAAACAAAAAGCAAAAACCCCTAAAAAGAAAATAAACGCGTATCCGACGCATTGTTGAGCATTTTGTACGGAATTTAGAATTTGTACATGTATATGTAAAGAAATCGATAACATTATCGATAAGTGGCAGCAGCGAACTAATAAACAAAATTCAAACTGGCTTCGTAGAAGTGTTTTTAAGTATTATTAGACTATATAAAGAAGAAAATAGTGAAAACTAATGCGACATCTAATGAAATTCAGCAAGAATTGAATACACACACATATATATATATATAAGTAATGTACGAGAATTTAAATGTTTTAATTATCTTATCTTAATTTCTTTTTTTTTTCTAAGTAGACAGCTAAAGTTCTATTATCCGTCAGCATAGAAAATGGAAATACTCGTAGAATATTTGTAATAATAATAGTAATGCATATTCATAATAGATAAGTCCCAAGACACGAAACGCAAATGTTAATTCAATGTTAGAGAACCCCATAAGTATATGTATAGCTGCATATACATTTACATGCATACATGCTAATAAGTGTATGTTTAATTTTCTTTCTAAATTAGATTGCATCAATTTAATAAGCCTGCTTGCGTAGTGTCTGTCTGTTTGTCTGATTAGTACCGTACATATATGCAAACGTACATATGCATGTACAACTTTTCATCGCTGTTGTCGTCAATAGTTTTCTTAATCTAAGATTACGATACTACATGCATAAGTATAATTGAAAATAATTCAAGACACAAGTTCAATTCAACACGCATAATAGCTCGCTAATGCATTACTCTTCAATGCATATGGTCACACTGTGCGAAACATGCATACTTACATAAATAAGTACATAGTAATGCAAAATGCATGCGTGCATGCACATGTGCCATATGCATGTGCATGTGCATGTGCATGTGTGTGCGTTTGTTTGTGCAAATATTGTAAACGCGCCGCTCTTTAAGATTTAAACTTTATTCTGCAGAGCTTTTGGTGCACAAAGAGCTTTTCTCTCTCTCTCTCTCTCTCTCGCAGCTTTCGCAAGAGTATGACGCGGACAAAACACCAGCACACACACACACACACACTCGCGCGTGTTAGCATGCATTTGCATGCGAACATAATTGATAAACAATTAACTATGACTGATTTTTACACGAGAACATTTACACATAAATATACATATTATACTACTATATACATACATCTTTACATATACATATATATATATATATATACTGTTGCTACTATACGATATTTATATATATATCTACATAAATACATATATGCATACATACTTACAACTACACACGCAAACACATGTACTAAGCCAATTACATGTGTGTTTGTGTCTTTACGGAATTTGTAGTGAACCTAACTTTAAACACATTTTTTATGACACTTAACAAAGAACAACAAAATCTTAGACTGCTTCGAAAACGTAAACGTGAAACAAAACAAAACAAAAAGAAGGAAAAATAACAAAAAAAACAAAAAAAAAACAAAAAGATTAAATTGTGAAATTAATAAAAGGATTGCGACTCGTTTAGGGAATTTTCAGAGCTCTTTCGTTGACTCATTTCCAATTCTCATAGTACCAAAGCACTTTGTTTTAAAAATGGGAAATTACTATGCTTCACTTTTCACTCTAACTTTAACTAAATCTAACTTTTACTTTGCGCGCAAGAGAAACGAAATTAAGTATATTTTCTATTTGTAAGTGGAAGGAATGAAAAACGTTGAGAAAATTGAATAGAAATATATATATACATATATATATATATGGTAGCTTGTAAAACATATAATAGATGTTTGTTGTTAGCTGCTTATACTTCCTATTGAAGACTACCAACACATTCATATCCAAGCATTTGTAGTTTGTATTTGTATTTAAAAGTATTTATACACACCTTCAAATTTGCATTTAAAACTAAGAAATATTTATACCATGTACTTTGCTTATACATAGATCCTACATTTATGTATGTAACTCAAGTCAGACACAGCATGACAAATCAAAAAAAAAAAAAAAAAAAACAAAATAAATAAAAATAATAATAATAATCATAATTAAATGTAATAAATATAAAATGGATTGTTATTAAATTTGCAATAAGTTGAAATTCTTTATATATTAATTAAGATTTTATTTGATTTCATTTATTGTTTGAGTTTCCATAAAGTTCTAGAATTTATTTACATATGGTATTACATTTGTAATTCTATGCTATTCTACTTTTTGTTCGTTGTTTAAATCTATTATAATTAAAGTTACTTGAGTTGTTTTCTAAAAAAAAAAAACGAAAAAAACAAACAAATATTTGCGTTGTTTCATTTATTTATTTGATATCATTTGCACTTTTTCATTTACAGTTTCACGTAAAATGCACAACAACTTGGCAGACCGAATCCAGCCAGAAAACATGAATTTTGTTTTCAATTTGCAAGTGAATTAAGCAAAACCTATTTATTAAATATATATGTATATGGGCATATTTATTACAATTTTAGGTTAGGTTCGATACAGTTATTGGTACTTTTTATTCATTCCATTATCCAACACTATTTTTACATTTGCGTTAATGTTGTTTTCATCACGATTACTCAAAGCTTATTGAATTACAATTAACATAAATAATTTAAATCAATTTCGGGACTCAAAAAAAAAAAAGAAATATTAAATGGAAGTAATGCGAAATACTCTATCTAGTGTAATGAGTCTCTACGGTCGAACCGCACACACACACACACACACACACACACACACACATTTTGCTAAGAATTCTAATTGACATATGCGAATTTGTTAGCTTATAAAATACATAAATATTCACGCATTTGCATCTAGTATATATTAAATAATACAAACATACTTACATCCAAAACATAGTGCAGATCATGGAATCATCATCTAGTCATTTTACAATTAATCATATGTCAACATATATGCATAAGTATTTTTATAACAATTAAATAAAAAAAAAAAAACACCAATTTAATGTTAAATGTCGTTACAATTAAGTTGATAAGTTTTAGCGAACGTTTTAAGCATTTTACTACAAACATATTTAACATATTTAACATTTTACCATTGATTTAAACATTGAACTCTCTGCTAAATAGATCAAAAACAAAAGATGATACCAAGTTGAATTTTAAGCAAAACATAGTATACAGGGTGTTGCTAATGGCTTTACACACACACACACACATACCACACACACACACACATACATATATGTACATGATTTTTACTAAACAAACTTGTTTTCTATATGGTTATATTTCTAAACAAATTGTTTCGCACACAACTCTTAGTTAATGCATATTTCGCTCAAATTTATTTTATTAATGTGCATATGAATGTTTGTTAAAGCAAAGGAAAATATATATGGACTAATGGACTGAAAGGTAAATAGTATATCAATGGTAGAGATGATGGGTTAAACATTACAAAAAAAAACAAAACAAAAACCAAAAAAACGAAAAAAAAAAAAAAAAACAAAGGAACAACTTTGAGTATAGCCCGCACTCTTGACTGTTTCGGGAAATTGTTAAATTTATGTTAATGAGTTAAGAAAACAAAGAAGAAAGCGATATGAAAATGGAAAAAGCAAAAAACCAAAAAAAAAAAAAAAAAAAAAACACACACACACACACCCACCAATGCATACTATATGCACACTGTTTCTTATATAATGCATATTGAAGATAACGACAAAACAATCTTTTTACAACTTGAATGACAGAGACACAGATACAAATGGGAGACATTTATTTCACTCAGTATTAGGTTTTGACTAACTACTTAACTGCCAACAACTCTATTCGCTCTCAGCAGTACAGTGAACACCCTGCATATGCAACTTTTATCCCATATACCATAAATACTAACAACATTAAGTACATACTTAAAGCCCACAATGAAGCACAGCAAAACGCATATGAATGGCATTTAATGGAGTATATTTTTATGTATTCATATTTTTATTATTATGTACTTGAAAGCAACAACAAGAAAAAACCAAAATTTAATACCTAACTATAAAAATATAAATATATATATATATATATATATATATATAGACATATATATGTGCATAACGTAAGCGTATTCGAATACCAATGTAATAAATGTGAATGTTATTAACTCATTAAACTATTATTATTACGATTATAATTGCATGCGTAATTAGTGCGATGCAAAACAATGAAGAAACAATGAACGACACTCATTATTCTAATGTGTAAGTGGGTGGAAGAGTTGAAGTATAACGGAATAACGGTAAAGATAACACGCTAAAATGGTAAAATACAAATACAATACAAATATTTTTATACGCCAATATGAAAAAACAAAAAAATTGAAATGAAACTTTAGCAATTCGCGCGAATGGGAAAGTAAACAAAGAAAACTTATTTGTATGAATTTCATCAATATATTGTACTCGAATACCAGCAAGAAAAACAAAAACAAAACAAACAAAAAAAAATTAAAAAACGAAATAATATGAAGAAGAAGAAAAACAACTACAACCAACCAAAAGTTGAAGCAAAATAAGTCTTTTTAATGCTTAGGGGCCACAATTTTCGAAGTACATAATTAAAAATGAAATTATTATTATTATTATTATTATTATATATTGTATTAATTAACATTTAAAAAATGTTGTGTAACAGTAATAATAAAAGACAAACAGCAACAACAATTGTACTGTAAGAATTTCTATTTCCATCACAAAAAAAAAAAAAAATTAAAAATAAATAATTTTGTTTTTAATAAATCAATATTTCGTTTAATTTAAAAGTGAGTACATGAACTTTTTTTTAGAATATCACAGAATTAAGGAAGGTCAATTTCTTCTCTGGAAATATAAAAATATTTTCTCTCAAGTAAACAATGAGCGCTTGGCTAATGCGAATTAATGATATTAATAATATAGTACTGATAATATATTATTCGACAGTAAACCTATCTCAGGTTTCATTATTTAGAATGCCTAATGCCTAATGCTAATATCGCTAGCTTTATAAATTTTCCAGCAATCTAAAGTGAAATAGTAGATAAACCCGCTACAATGGGACAATTAAAAAAAAAACTATTTAAATGAAATAATTTATTAAAGACAACTTAATTTAGTCTGGTCTGCAGGCTCTATCGACCTTCATTCAGGTGTTAGGGACAAAGCACCAGGTGCTGCCAGATTCTATCCATACCGCCGCATCTCCTGTTGTTCTCTGGCATTCAAAATTCAATTACAGCAAATGCAGTCCGAAGAACGAATATTTGTAGTTCAAATCGCCAACAGCTCCGCAGCAGCACGGCGCCGCGGTAGCACACGGTCCGCAGGGTCCGGCGCAGCTGGTGCGGTAGCAGCTATAGCTGCAGTCGACTAGGCAGCACTGGACACAGGGTGTTTCGCGGTAATAGCGACTTTCGCAGCACATGGTGATCTAGGAACATGTTAATGCTGCATTCATGCTGAAAATGTGTTTTCTATCTACTCACCTGAAGGATTTAAGTTTTTTTTATTATATGTATTACAGGAGATTCCTGTTCGTCTAGAGCCTACTCTCAGCTTGAGCTTCGTCCGGAAACTGAAGCAAACTACAATAGTTGGATGGGTATATATATAAAGCAACGCCTATTGAAACACATTTTACGTATTGAATGTTTCGTTTTGCATTTAAATTCTTATTCGTATTTACACGGCTCAAATGAACATTCATAGACTCGCAAATGAATTTGAACGCAAAATGTCACCTCCAATTTTAGAATAGATTTTCCTCAAAGGAACTCGAAGAAACCTCTTTGAAAATGAGTTTGAGGCTGAAGATTTTTCCATATTTGGTTGTCGAATTTCCCGAAACCCTGTCTTAAGGCATATAAGGCGATCCCGGTCGGAACCAAAAAGTTTTATATAGACTTTCTAATCCAAGAAAATCCTGGACTTGGCCAAGTGTTGCATCATTTCAGACAACTGAAAGGGACTTATGCCCAGGATGAGTCTTCGTAAGACCCCAATAGTATTTAGTCAATTTACATTCATGCGGTTTAGTTTATTGCTAACGGTAACATAGTACATGAAATTGTTTGTTTCTTTTTCTTTTTTTTTTGTTTTACATTGCTATTTTGTCATGACTGTGTTCTTATCTTTCGGGGCCATCATGGACCGGGGCGCTTTGGTCCATGGGCTCCTCAGCGGCCAGTAGTCCTCGCCAGGGCCCGTCGGGTCTGCCATCGCTTAGCAGCCACAGCAGAAAGAACATTGCAGATACGCCGGGGTGCAGGGCGAAAAACACATCTCAACACAACAAGCTTGACGGCAGGGTCCGCCACATGGAGGTCCACAGAATGAACACCAACCTGCCGGGCCACAGCACATATTCTAAGAAAACATAATTTTAATTCCACACTTCACACTTCATTTCCATACATACGATTTATATAGGTAAATGGGAGTTTTTGGGCAAAAGCCGTAAATAGTTTTCGTCGGTTTTGAAAAGCTTGTAACTTGCCGAGTGAGCTTTGGAGGACACCTAACAAAATAATAATGTAAAATTTTACACAATTTTTATGTGTTAACTACACGAATTTTGAACTAATAATGAAAATTCTAAAAATAATCTGCTTAAGCTCAAACAGTTTTTTTTTTGTTTTTCCAGGCCTACTGTTTGGGTCTTTCATCCCCTCTAAGTTTAGACATAGTCCTAATAGACATGGACATGGTCTCATGGTTGATACGCTTATACTCAATATCAGGTTTATACCGAAAAGAGCTTGCCAGCAATCGAATGGACAATCTCAAGAATAATTGGTAAAAGCTTGTATAAAAAATGTATATAATCTTTCATTGTAGGTTAATACTTAATAATACCTTAAATAATGAAGATCAGGTAATAAAAACTGATGCTTCATTGTTTATTTGTTATGAATTTCATGCAATATGCAAATGCTGAAAGTTCGTTGGATTTCAGCACCTACAGAAAGTCTTCAACGACTTAAAGAAGAAGAAACATATGGCTGATCTGCTGAGGGAGATGGATTTTGAATGCGACTGCCAAACTATAAGTTTAATTTATATTTGGTTCAGGATAACACAGTCTAATTAGCTAGACTTCAGAGAATTATGAGTTTCATTTTAAATGGGCTTGACACCATTTGAGAGCGGACTCCAGTGTCGATAGTCCATCTGTGTGGCTGCCTCGTACTCCTGCACCAGGCAGTCAACCGTGTCGCGCGCCAAATCCAGCTCGGTCAGATCATCTTGAAACATGGGCTCGCGCCGAAATTGATCTAGGAAGGCGTTGCGCTTCTTCAGCTTGTCATACTGGGCCAGAGCACGATTGAAGAGAGCACTGACGCCCGTGTGATTGGCCATCATCAGGCCGGACACTTTGTGCGCCGTCTGGACGTAGGGCGAGCTGCGTGATAGCGCCACCTGAATGCTAGCCGGGCCCCAGGGTATAAACTGCGCCAGCTTGCGCTCTCGTATACGCTGCAGCGACTTGTGCACCTGCGTGGGATCCACCTCGCCCTGTATAATGTTCAATATGGAGATGTAACAGTGTCGCTTGTCGGCGGTGGATGACACCATCATGTTCTTCGGCTGTAGCAAGCGGCGCATCACATCCAAAACTGTTGTCCTGCGCACATTTGTCTTGGTCTGCAGTTGAACAAATTTATAAATGTTAAGCAAGTGAGAACCTGAGCTGAATCCTGAATACATTTTTCACCTCGAGGTCTGTGATCAGCGGCGTGTAGCCCGTCATGAGAAAGTGTAGCTGCGGCGTAGGAATCAGCGGCGCGGTCAGACCAATCAGATTGTTGTTCATGTAGGAGGGATAGCGCAAGGTGGTTGTGCTAACGCTCATGATGGTGGACACCAGGTTGTTGATCTGGGTGAATGTGGGCGTTTGTATGTGTAGCCGTTCGGTGGCTATGCGATTCAAGGCCGTGTTGTCCAGCACCACGACACAGTCTGCGCACTTGGTCAGCCGCTTCAGGGTGAGTATCGAATTGTATGGCTGCACAACAACGTCACTGATCTCGTCCTGATTGGGGAAAACGCTGTACGTTTGAATGAGCTTCTTGGGGAATCGGTCGGACAGGCGTTCCAGCACGTACGAGCCCATGCCGGAGCCCGTGCCGCCGGCTATGGAGTGGCAGAGCACAAAGCCCTCGAGCGAATCGCTGCCATCGGCTTCTCGATCAATTATGTCGAACACCTCCTCCTGCACCTTTTCGCCTTGGCTGAAGCCAGAAGCCCAGTTGTTGCCAGCGCCGCCACCGTGCTTGGACAAGTAAACGTTCTCCGGATTGTATAGCTGAAAATTGCAGCAGTTTTGATCGGTTAGACATTCTTGATGTCCAGCAATCTGTATTTACCTTGGCATAGGTCGAGCTCATGATGTTGTGTATGACGCGAGGTTCTAGATCTAGAAGTACGGCACGTGGTATATAATGATTGTCGTCCGCCTGGTAGAAGAACACATCCTTGCGATCGTGTCCGTCGGCCGCAAAGTCTTCAAGCACCCCATCCGGCGAAATGCCATGCTCCAGGCACAGGCGCTTCCAAAACTCAAAACCAACTGTTGGTTTATCGTTGAAGAGCGTTGTTTACAAATGTGCATTTGCGTATTAACTTACTCTGATTGCCGCATTGGCCCAATTGCAGGGTAATTATTTCACTTGGCATTTTTTGTGTGTCGCGCTTTTTCCACTTTTAGCTTAAAATTGAACATAACAGTGCTTAGCGCCATGTCTAAGAATTAATGTCAGCGTTGCCACACAGTATTATGTTGCAATAGAAAGGTGCTGTAAACATATTAATATATATTCATACTAGATTCTTTATTTAATCTATGGCAATTATAAATATTACATTTATCGACAACAAATAATATTTATATTTAGGTGCATGAAAATAATTTAATTGTAAGTGTGCATAGCTAACAAGCTGCGTACCATTTTACAAAATATTTATATGGCCACCCTCACAGCTGATTGCCGCGTTGCCAACTTACTTGCAGTGTTTATTGATTTCTCAAGAGGCTCTGTTGGAGTTTTTGCGCAATGCTGCAATAGGAAAATTATTTTTAAAATAATTAAATTAAAATTAGCATGCTGCGTCAAGAGAACTTGGCCGCCAACTTTTGCGGACTCCTGGCCGCTCAGGGCTACAAGGGCAAGTGTCTTCCAGCCGGCACATGAACATAAATAACACTCCAATTGCAGAAAAGGCCAACGAGTGGCGCATTTTGGGTCAGGAGCAGGACGGCTCGTTGCTAACTTCATGGATATTTGAGTATTTGGATGAGTCGAGCAAGCGGGAAACCTGCATTGGTCACTTTCATGCCACAAAAAAACAGCTGCGCGTGCTCTGGACCCTGCCAGGCTGCGTGGAAGTGATCCAGGCGAGCATCAATAGCAGCATAACCTTGTTGTCGTATGTGGTCAAGGATTCGCAGCGTTATCAGGCGTACGTCGTCGAGGTGCGCAGCAGCGAGGGCGGCTCGCCGACATGCCTGACCGCAGAGTCCTCGGCTCGCCAGATAATGACGCAGTTTCTGTGGCGTGTGGAGAGCGCGACGCGCACCTGCTGGCAGGACAAGCTGCTGGTACTCACACACGAGGATTGTAAGTTGGCGGCCCTTGAACAATGTAGCACAGGTTAACGTAGCTTCTTGCAGCCATTAAACAGTTCAGCTGCACGGTCAAACAGAGCTCCACGACATCGCACCCGGGCAGTGCAGAGGGCAGCGCCTGGCACTTAGATGTCAGCATACTAACGCATGAGACGCTGGCTAAGAACTTTAGCTGGGCTCAGTGGGATGCCGAGAGCCAAGCACTCTACTACATACACCTCAAGCCAAAGGCAGTCAGCCTCAGTTTGCTAGACGAACGGGAGCAGATCGGGGAACAGGCTGCGCCCGTGCTCAGTCCCACACTGTCCGCGTTTCAGTTTAACGAAAAGCAACCCACCGAGACAGTCGTAAGCATGCACCAGATAAAAAAGAAATGGCTCTTATTAAGGCCTTCTTGGTTTTTCCCCTCCGGCAGCTTAATATCCCGCTCAATTTGCCAAAGCTGCCCGCAAATGCAGCAGGGGATGCGCCCAGCTACGATGACGATGCAGTACCGCTGCGCGTGCACGACAGTTCGCTGAATCTGATCATCCTGGCGGACAGCTCGGGCATGTTCTTTGTGTGCCACTATTATCTGTACCAGCCCATGCAGCCGCAGTATGCACAGGGAGCTACGAAGCAGCCGCAGCAGCAGGATGTGCACTTTGCATACTCTGTTTCGCTGCTGCATCACGGCTGTGTGCTGCACTGCGTCATGCCGGGCGTGCCCTGGCATAAGGCACGTCTGCTGCGTCCCACCTTTGCGCTGCAGGGTGCACATCATCTGCTGGTCTCGTCCGCCTTCTTTGTGCATCTGCTGGATGTAGGTCTGCAGCACGAGCCCACGTGCCACATTGTCTGTCCGGCTGCGAACAATCGTGCTCCCAACGTCACGCATTTGGTGCCGCTGCGGAAATGGGGCGCCTTGGCCTTCGATGCATCCACCTTGGATTTGGTCTCGCTGAGTGTACCCAAGGCACATCTAATCGAAACATTCCGGAATGATAACTCGCTGGATAACCGCATCAGCATTATACACTACTTTCTGATCCATTCCGCTGACATGGATGTCCTGGCCGAGCTGCTGAGCAGCATATTAGAGCGACCCCTATCGCTGGACACGGTGGCTCTGCTCAAGGAGGCGCTGATTGCCGGCAGCTTTGCAGCCGCTGTGCGCGGCCTGCCCGAGGAGGCGAAGCCACTGATGCGCCTGCTCCCGCTGACCACGGCGGTTGCCACGCGTCCCATTCAAGCGCGTGTCGCAGACATCAGCGTTGGCATCTCGCACGAGGCGCTGCACAACACAAGCATGATGCTATTGTCGCCACAGCAGCGACTGTCTCCGTATCGCACAGACATTTGGACGCGTCTCTGGGAGCTGCTCAACGAGTCCGCCAAGCAAGAGCAGCCACGCTTTGCAGCCGAGCAAGTGACAGAAAAACTGATATTCAGCTTAGCTTGCTACCAGCCGGAGGCACTTTCACGCTGCACGACACCCATGACACCGGACGCGGGCAGCAGTGGCTTTGGCGATTACAGCAGCGGCAGCTCCTTCCCTTTCAGCAACGAGGTGCTGCCCTTCATTGAGCTCGAGGGCTGCACGGCCAGCAAGCAGGAGCACGTGCTTTCTGTGGTGAGTTTTGCAGAAGTTTAACTAAAAGCTTATATAACACTGATCATTGTTCTTTTAGTACCTGCGAGAGCTGAGCGTTCATTTGGTTAAGCATTCTTCGAAGCCACATTCGGGCTTTCGCTGGCTGAAGGAAACCTTTTTCGAGCGCTCGCAGGCACCGGCCCATGTGCATGCGGTTGCTTCGCAGTTTGTATCCGCTCAGCTGGAGCTTTCGCGTGCGCTGTGCTCGCTGGTGTGTCGCGCTGCCGGCCTAGATGCTCGCTTGGAGACGTTGCGCGGCTTCAAATTGATGTAGGTGTTCCAATCACATATGCTGCTTCCTTATTTACTTTACTCTCGTTGCCTTTAGCGACCAGATGTCCAGCGTTCAACAGCATTCGCTGTTTCTGATACTGGAACGTTATTGCTTGGCCGTGGAATCGATTGCCTTTCCGCTGCCTGAAGGCTTCTCCTCGTTCTTCACGTACCTGGGCTATCGCGCCCTGGACTATGACATGTTTTTGCAATACGTGGAGAATCATGTTTTTGAGCTGCAAGTTGATGTCATGAAGAGCATTGTATACGGTGGGTTTGTTAGGGAAATATATGCCTAGACTTTTGCCAATCCTTGACGCCAACTTTCATTGCAGACATCGAGGACACTCCGCAGGGGATCGAGCGCAAACTGTCGCTGTTGTCGGCACTGCCAAAGCAGCGCGCTCAGCGTCTGCTCAAATGCTGGCAGCATCCCGAGAGCCTTATGATACGTGGTCGCGAACATGCGGCTAACATTCTCTCGGGTCGTCATCAGGAGCCGGCACAGCGACGCGGATCTGGCGGTGTCTCGCAATCGCGCATGCATGCCCGAAGCGGTACGACTTCATTTGCATCACATTTAACCCATACTCATTTGCACTTTGTCATCCAACACCCGGTCCAGCACTGGGCAAGCCCACAACAGTCGTTTGTCACTCCTTGCTTTTGGTTTTTTTGCTTATCATTTTAACCAGCGCCGTTCTGAGCATTGCTCGCCTGGTGCTCGAGCAGCGATCCGCATTTTGGTAATCATTTAGTTAGCCACAATTCGATCCCGATCATCTACTGGTTGGTAAGCAGCGCTTCTGTCTGTGTTTTTCGCCAGTGCCTGTCCCTGCTTGCAATTATTGTTAAATGTTGTGTTAATTTAACGCTCGCCCTTTGGTGCTTAATCTTTGTTGTTTTGCAGATCTCAGCGCGGAAACGTTGTCGCCGCTGGACTCATTTCTGGACTTGCTCACTGCAAAAGCGAGCCTAAATGAATTGGACTACAATTTGTTAATTGAAGCGACGCTGAGCTCAATGGAGCAGCTAAAAGTTCACGAATAATCTATTGAGGCTTCTACTACTGCGTCCTGTGCCCAATTAATTGAATTATTTATGTTATATGAATGTTGGCCAAAATAGTGTGTCAAATGTCTAAAAGTAAGGATGAGTATTCAATTCATATATTCAACCTTATCGCCATATTTCTACAATAGTATTGAATGTCGCAAATTATGCTAATGTAATCCCTGTATGATCTATTTGATATTTATTTGTACATTCCCACATGCCTCTGTTATTTAGTTAAATCCAAAATGTATTTTTTTTTATTATTTATTTAAAATGTATTATACAAAGATAGTACGTATATCTATGTGACAGAAAGTTACAATTAAAAATACAGCTCTATAATACTTGAATCTTGTTTTAAATAAAGTCGTTGACACTTGGATCTTACATATAGTATCTTTCCCCTCAAATTTCCCCTTTGCAACGATAACTGTTATACGGCAGCGCTTAGTACCTAAAATTGACAATAGGCGGCGCAACAGCATCCACAATAAAGTTTAACATTGGACCAACATAAGCAATTGCTTTTGTTAACATGCCGTAGAGTTGAAATTGTCGACTAACTAAAAAACAATGAAAATTATTTATTTATTTTATATTGAATAACATTATTTAACTTTACTTCATGCACTGAGCAAACATTCATTTCAACTAACAGCAGTGTAACAGACTGTAGTTTTGTTGTGCTCATTCGAAAATTCGAAAACAGCTGATCAAGCGAATGTTCTGTTCCATTGTTCACAGTGCAACATAACATCCACAGTGGATGCTAAGATAGTTACGCATTTGCATTACAGCGCGTGTACATAACAGAGTCTGTTAAAAGTCGCTGAAAGATACTTTAGCATTAGCATTGTTTTGTTTATCCAGTTGACAGTTTGTGGAAAATCGTCACGGTGCGCGCATCAACGAAAATTCGTTGCGGAAAAACAAGAGCCCACGGGGGAAAATTTATCTTGTTGCTAGAGTTTGGCTTTAAGGCTATACAGCTGCCGAGTGCATCGTTTAGGTGTTAATTCCAATTGGAATATGCGCGCCTCTGTCTGAGGCGGGGCAAAGTGCCAAACGCACTGTGAAATATTTAAACGCAAAATGCGCGCCATATTATAAAATTCGCATTCATATTGAAAAGTGTGCGCTGCAATAGCAATTTGTTTGCGAGTGCCAACAGAGAAAACAACAAAGAATTTACAACAATTAAATCAAGCAGTCATTAGTTAAACAATAAAAGCGCCAAGTTCTTAGTTAAGTTGCCATTTATCGCTGCAATGGAGAAGAACTTTAAAGGCCTCTTCACAATCGGATTATTTCTGGCTCTGCTCGGCGGCGGCCAAACGCATTTGAATATATTTTTGAATCTACACGAGGTGCTGCGTCTAATCGGTGAGTTGGCCCCCCCCTATAAATAGCTTCAATTAATGAATGTGAATATAATTAAATATCTAATATCAATTATTTAAAACTAAACGAATTTTGATATGAGTTGAAAATTCGTGAAGAATTGTTGATGGGAATTTGAATCAAGGCTTTGCGAAAGCCGATTAAATTGCAATATTAAATAAAATACAACAAATTGTTCAAACTGAACTTAACTTATTATTTTTTAATTATACTAATATTATAACAGAAACTGGCTGTGTTAAATAAATACGACAAATTGTTTAAATTGTGCTTAAAATAAATGATTTTAATTTGAATTAATTATTTTTTGATTATACTAATATACAAGTTAATAAAAACTTAAATTTGTTTTCATTTTTAATTCTTATTTTATAGTTTTTTTTCGATTTTTACTCCGATTTATCAAAATTTGTAGATCTCTCAATTTTATCTGAATTTTCTTCCATTTTTTTACTATTCATTTATTTGTAGCTATAAATGTTAGCTCACAAATCAACAGGACTCACAAATCAAAAAACATACGATTATATATTCTATTTTTCTTTAGATATTTGTCTTATCGAAAAAAAGAGAAGATATTCTTCATATGCTAAGCTGTGGCCCATGCGACCCAGAACCATAAAACCAAAGTGTTTTACGAGGTGCTGCCAAAAAAATGCAGCATAAAAACTCTTTGTCGCTGTATTGTTTGTTTGTTTTTGTTTTTGTTGCTGCTGGGGACATGTATAGAAAATAAATAAATCCATGTTGAATATCATAAAACACATGCAAAGTGCTAGCCACCGTCGAAGTGTCGAAGTGTTTGTCTGTACAAGCTGAGAGATACGGTTGAATTATCAGAAATTATGTTGTAAAATTTACAACTCTCAGCTCGACATTTGTCCGTGCAAACAGGCCAGGTGATTGATGGGAGCGGTAGCGGGAGCGGGCAGGAGCTGGTGTTCGGGCTTATGGATGCGATCGGCTATCAAATCGCGTCACTTGTGAATAACTGGGTAAATATTGGGACAACTACGAGTGCGACTGCTAATCAGGCGCTTATCTGGCAGCTATCGGTGTGCCAGCTCGTCGTAATTCATGTTTGGGTTGGCAACTCGACTTATCGGAGCGCCGGTCAATCAATCAGAGTGCAGCACTCGCAGCAGCTGGATGAGGCTGCCGACCCAAAGGGCTCATCATCCATCAAGTGGCAGAGAAATTTATTAGTTGTGTCAGCCGCGTGTCAAACAAAATCAAATTTGAAGCCAATAATCGATCCCTTTTACCATTGTGGTATTTTGTAGTTTTGCGCTGCAATTGCAACCTGTCCCACTGATGAGTGCATGGGCACACTCTTGCTCGCCCTCTTCCGCTCCCTCTTCAATTATCCAGCGTTGACAGCAGGTTGCATGCCTGACCTACTTTTGGCTACCTTTTCGGGCGGAGCGCGCTCTCTCTCTCTCTTTCTGTGTAGTAGGTGTCATTTTTTAGCGGTTTGTTCAAAAGCTTGACTCCAACCCGACTGTGTGTGTGTGTGAGTGTGTGTGTTTGACCTGTCTTTGTGTGCATGCGTGTACATCAATTAAATTGTCAGACCACAAAAAAAATGACAACTTTGCTGCTCGTTAGGTTACACTTGTGGCCGTTGGGCAGGTGGGCGGGGGCAAGCATGGATGAACTGGGCTGAAGAGCGCTCTGGCCAAAGGCTGCACAGCATATAAACCATGTCAGGGACTGACGCACTGCTGCCCCAGCTCGTTAGCGGAACGAGCGACCCGAAGAATCTTTAATGGACTTGCAGCATAAATGAGGAAGCGCTCGGCAGAGCATGAGTCCATGCCACAGGACAGAGTTCGATTAAAGCAAATGACAGGACATATGTTCGTGAAAGGGCACAAATTGTTGACTTATGCGAAAATATGTTTATGCAAATATTCACAAGCATTGAAACGAGAATTGGGTTGAGCAGCTTAAAATAGTTAGTATTTGTTTTTATTTGCATGAATTGAGATTTTGAGACTTCGTTCCCAATAAGACAACTTGTTGGAGCACAGCATGATAGCACATATAAATTTAAATACTATGATTAATTTTGTTAAACTTGTTTTATATTGTTTTAATTTGCATAAATCAACTTTTAAGAAATAATTGAATTGCTGTTGCTTAAGTGGCACAGTGTGTGAAATTCAACTCAAAATCGAACCAATATCCACTAGGATATTCTATATAAATGATTGTAACCCTTGCCATTGCAAATAGTGCAAGTCAGACGCAAAGTGTATCAATGCCGCTAATCTCAGGCCAACTGAGCCCATCTGTGACCCAACTCAAGGCGCATTTGAGCGATTGACATGGCCAGCTTTTGCTAAATGTTGCCAACTCACGTTTAGCTAATAAAACGGCAACATTTGGCTAAAAATACACAAGCGCATTTATTTTGCCAAGTAATGTGAACTCAATTAGTGAAATGCGACAACAACAACAACAACAAGAGAAGAGAAGCAGAAGTAAGAATAGAAAAGCCCTTTAAGCCAATTGCAGCCAAATCTTGGCGAGAAATGCGCAACGTGCGTGCCGAATTTTTGGCCGAGACGACTTTGCACAGAATAATTAATAAATACAAGCGAGGGGTGAGCATGGGGTAGGAGGGTGAGGATGCAGTGTGGCAGTTGAAATCGGAGACAGAAGCAGGCGCCGCTTCGCATGCAAAGCGCGGCTGCGGATGTTCCTGCTGCTGCTGGGATGACGACAGTATAAACAACTCCACGGCATGTCGTTACCATGTCTGGCTGTCTGACTGTCTGACTGACTGGCGGGCTGCTTGTTGCACAGTGCGTAATTGGCAAATGAATGGGAGAAGCAGACGGGGATAGGTTGCAGCTATAAAGAGAGATATGGATAGAGAAAAAGACAGGATGACGCTGCAGAAGAGTAGGCGATGGCAACATTAAGCGGAATCTCAGTTGCATTTCAATGCGCTTAATTACGAGGGTGGGTCGAGGGTGGTTCGAGGGTTGTCCGCTAGGGACACACCACTTCAGTGTGTGCGCGCGTGTGTGTGTGTGGCTGCCACTTATCCATGGTTGCCACACGTGTCAACGTCAGCACAGCTTGCAACATCTGACTGACAAAAAACCACCTACAGCCTGCAGTTGCTGCTGCTGGCATCCTACGGCTGCTGCTCTTTATCTATGGCAAGTCATTGGCCCTTCGTTGCGTAAACAGTTTGCCAGTTTGCCACGCCCACTCATCCAACTATATACACCCAAATAGACATGCATATAAGCTATGCATCAGTGACAACATTCGACGCCCACTTGCGCTTAATTAAATCGCTAAACGCTTGGCGAATGTTCTTCTTGTTGTTGTTGCTGTTGGTGTTGCAGCATGTGACAAACACAACACAATGAGTGCAACACGGTTGCATGAACAACACCATGCTAAGAACAACAAAAACGATCAATTTAAATACATTGAAATGAATATTATGAAACTGCACAAGTCATATTGATGATTTGGAAGATTGCAACCAATGAAAACTGTAATAACTCTAATTAATTGGGGCTAAAGTGGAGAGCATACGATTATGTATAGACATTTTTTTAGCCTTTTAATTGATGTTCTCAAAGAAGTAAATTTCATTTTAAAGGTATCCAGCCCAATTCGACATTTATTATAATTTTAATTAGATATGACTTCAGATATTACTTCTGTTGGAATTATTGTTTTTATTTTTTATCAGTATTTATAAATAGCCCAATAATACCCTAAGAGTTTTTTATGATTGGTATTTAAATTGTAATTGTAAATAAAGCTTGGAAATTAAAATATGTAACCTCTCATCAGCTGTTAGTTCCATTGCTTTGCATTTGTTAATGGGAATAGTTAATGGAAATAGTTGTAACAATTTTCCATAATAACTTTACAGTCTTTTTTTTATAAGTTCTGAACTGCATGTGTAAATTTGGAATATATTTTTATTACAAAAAAAAAACTGCAATGCAGTATGTAACTTATTTTAAGCTCGTTGACAGCAACTTAACTTTTATTTATTCACTTTCGGCACATATTTCACATTCCCATTCGGCAACGAATGAGTTTTAGCACGCACACACAGACACACACGCATACACACATGCACACATATGATAATGTGGATAGGCCAGTTGCATATGGCACCCCCAATCCTGAGCGACTCGCATATCTCAAGTGGCGTTCCCCAGACTCGGCAGCGCCTTGTTATCAAATGAATTTAATCAGTTTCAATTGTTTATGTGTTGGTTCTCGTAGAAGGGGGCTGGCTTTTGGCATGATTGGTAGCCGCTAGACACGAAACGGAAACCGGGCAAAAGGAAAATAAAGTCCGGGGAGGAGGACCCAACCCAAAAACCCCTTGAAAAGCCAAACGAGTGGATTGCGCAAGTTTCAATTGATTTGTTTGGAAATGCATTTTTTTTCTAGAGGCTTTTCTCGTTGCTTTTGTCAGCTCCAGCAATTAATGGAACTGACAAATTATTGCGCCCATTATGAGGCGATTTAATGGTCAGCAATTGGTGACTCCGATGGCAGCCACATGTGGGTCGTCAAATGATCACTGACACCTACTTGACAACGATGTGGAAACTGGCCATGAATATATATGAATAGACAAATAGATATTTCGCAGCCTCAAATGAGGCTCAAGCTTGAAAGATAAATTGCCCAACTGTCCAACAGAATGGCGCATAAATTTATGAGCAACGTAATCGAAACAGTCGCCTAATCCCAGGACTTTGGCTCGGAGGCGTTGCCGGGCCAGTTTCCACTGGAAATGCTTAAATTATGTTAATGAGCGAACAAAATGGCGCAGATAATAAAGTACATGATATTTGCATTTGGGAATGCTGCTTAAAACAATATCCGCATTAAGGGATATGCCGGGCTATTCATGAATATCCGAGGACTCGGGATGCTCGCCATTTAGCGTAATTAACTTGTGCTTAGCCAACGCAAAACGTTTCCCA